ATAGTGTAGAGTGAATGTAGATTTGACCAATCAGAGGCCTCCTGTCTGCGGCACTGTCTGCGTTCACTTACAATTTTGGAGAGGTGCAGCAGAGTGTCTGCAGAGGGGGCGGGGCATATCTGCGTTAACTGCGAAACAAACCCAGACGACCTGGTTTCTGGGTATAAATCAGGCTTTAGGCTTGAATTACGTGTATTTTGTATTTTAACACCGACATTTACATTTCTAATCCATTTTCAGCTACTGTTACGCATTTTTTCTTTGAAATATAATCTGTTAAAGGCAGAGATGTCTGTTGGTTATAAAGTCGAGATGGTTGTCTGGAAGAGAATCATCTGTAGGTGCTGAGAAAAGGCCGATATGAAAGGAACAAAATGACAACCTCTCAGTTTCCTTTCACAGCATTTATAAATCCTTCTTCTTTACCTTTTAGTGTTTTTTACCACTTAATGAAAATGTCAACAACAAATTAAATGCATCGCAGAAGGATTCGGTCGGCACTGTCAAACCGAAAAAAGGCAAAGAAAGGAACAACCTCTTTAATAAAAGTCTAAATCATAGAGTCATTGCTAAAGGACTTATGGGAACTACCCTGAGAACATGACCTCGTTCGATGAGACAAAGTCACTCACTGACATCAACTCAATAGCTCTTTTCAAGACAGACTTCACCTTGACAAGAAATATTCAACAACATGGAATATTAGAAGATTTTTTTCACATTATTCAGCCAGAGAAGAAGAGAACAAGGACACTTAGACTGACTGAATTAAGGTAATTTTCTTTTAGTCTAAAATATCAGAATGTGATTTAATTGGAGGGAAAAACAGGTATTAGAGAAAAGGAAAAATAAAACAAGGGGAAACGTTGGTGTTCTGGGTGCAGGTAGGCAGAACATACCGGAATGAGAAACTTCTTGATCTCTTCTAGAGCGTGCCCCATCCTGGCGTAGGCCTCGGCCGGCGGCGCGAACACCTCGATGAGAACGTGCAGGTCTTCGTTCAGATGGTGATATTTGGCCTCGCCGCTTTGCCGTAGCTCTTCTTCCTGATGGTGCAAAATACCACAAAAAAAAAAAACAAGACAGGATTCATAAAGGAGTTTGATAACAGATGTTTAGGCTCCCAAAGACTATTTGAAGTGAATATCCGTCATTAATTCAACCCAGATCTACAGCAGGGAGTTTTCTGTCATGAGGTTTAGTGTGTTGATGGTGCAGAATTACAAAAACACTGATATGTTGCAGACTTCTGCAGACAGAAAGTCCTTAACAGCTTCTCAACTGCAGCTGTCATGTTCAACTGATTGCCTTCCTCGCCACAAAGCTGCCCTTCCTCTCAGCAGACTGAGTGGTTGAGTGTAAAGTGCGTGCTCGCGTAGCCTTTCCCCAGATAGATCCTCTGTTTTTGTTTTTTTTTGTATTTCAGCCCATCTGTCTTTGGAATCGCTCGAACTTCATTAAAATAAATTAACCCGCTCTGCAAGCAAAGGAATGTTCCTGATTTAAATTTACCACGATGAAATATTGATTTTCCAAAAAAATGCCTTAAGAGGACAGAAATTAAATAAAAAAAATCTCTAATGTGAAAAAGAAGTTGCTGTTTTGTTATGTTTGGATCAACGTTGTCTCACAGGAGTGGGGTTTGGTTCAAAGAACCAAAAATATGACTAAAACATATTTTATTGATCACCTCCATAAGGTGAAGGTTACAGAAACATCAGATCCAGTGACTTTTAAATGTATTCCTGACATCAGACCTTTTTTCTCTAGATTTAGTCTCATTGGCAAAAAAATAAAAGAATTTAGAAAGAAAGAAAAATAAATAAAAAAGGTGTCGGTGAGATTATTATTGCAAAATAAAAGCACTTTACTTGAGATTAGTTTGCTAATGAGAAGGGACAATTGTAAGTTAGTCAAAATAACCCAGTAAAGGGTCACATTCTTTGTAGAATTTTTTAGTTGATCCTTTCAGAAAATATTTCACTTTTTAAATTTTTAGGAACATCATCATATCGTAAAGCCACATTGATGCCTCAGGTGGTAATCAGGATTTCCATTCTAACAGTATTTACCTTCGAGTGATCAGAGTTGCAAAAGCAATAATATTTTCCTTACTACACTGAAAAACATAATGCTACTGTTTTAGTGATATA